GCCCACAGCCCACAGCCCACAGCCCACAGCGGTTCAAGGCAACGTGCACGGAGCAGCGCCGTTCGAGTGCCCGCATCCATGCATCCTCGCCCGCATTCGAGTCTAAAAAAAGAGGAAGCTCCGCTGCAGCCGAGGCCTAACAATGAGGCGGATGGATTCGCTCCGTGTCTCGCACGAAAGACCCATGCGCCAAAGTCGTGCGACGTGCGGCTGTAGAGCAACACTTTCTGAGGCGCGCGCAGAAGAGAAGTCGAAATGCAGGTCGGCTTCGCTCTGCAGCCGCGCGGCCGTCAAACTTGCATTCCGCCGCACAGAGCCAACTCCACCTTTCTTCCGCATCCTCATCTGCTGTACAACTCGTCGACCCCGGACATCATCCTCAACCCCCCTACCCTTATCCTCCCTGCATAGATTGTCTACCGGACCGCTTCCTCGCTCCTTCCACTCGCTCACCAGTCTCGGCGGATCCCATCGACCACCCGGCACTCTTCCGCTCGCACCACCGCTGCGTCTCCATCCATGCATCACCTCTAGCAACAGCCTGCGCCATGATCAACTTCTTTGGCGGCAAGGCGCCGGCTGCCTCCTCTTCCTCTTCCAAACCGGCTTCTTCGGCCGCCTCGGCCACTCCCAGCCCCAGCACACTCTCCACCCAGATCAAAAAGGCCAAACCTTCCGCGCCAGCCGTCACCGTCACCACCATCAAAAAGAAGGTCGCTGCACCACCCAAACCCTCTGCAGAGCCCCGCGATCCCATTGCCGCCCTTTCGGGCTACAACTCCAAGAACGCGCTACCCGAGGAAAAGCGCCGTCGCATCATTGAAGAACGTCTCGCAGCTCAGCGCCAAAAGTCCATCGAATCCAGCCTCGAGGCTCAGCTCAGAGCACCCGTCAAGTCGTCCGCCTCCTCCTCCAAATCCTCCTCCAGGTCCAAGCCAAAGCCAAAGCCGAAGAGGCTCAAGAAGCGGCGCGTGGACTCGGACAGCGACAGCCTCTCGGACGATGATCTCGACGGTGGGTCCAAGCGGCCGTCGCGCCTCGGCAGCTCGGCGCCTTCCACCCCGCGTGGCTCCAAGCGTGCCAGCGTCGACCCACATCCGCATACCGACAGCTACCAAAAGGTCGGCAGGGAAGGCGTCCTGCCCAACTACACCGTTCCGCGCGACATGATCGCCCCCGCTTTTGCCGCCGACAGCGCGACAACAACATCGCCACCCACCAAACCCATCTCATCGGCCGACATTGTTGCGAGTAACTTCAAGTCGTTCGGGCCCTACTTTCACGGCCTCGGCGATGCTCCGCGCGCGACGCTCGAGTATCCCGGTCCAGGCGCATCCGAGGAGTTCCTGCTGCTCGTGCCCAAGGATGCCGACGAGTACGACCCGCTCATGGAGCTGCTGGCCACCGTGCGCGCCATCGTCACACACTACCTTACGCCCCAACAGCGCACCGCATTCGGATCGCTCGACAGCCTCGAGGTGTCCAACAACGCCGGCATGATCCTGCCCAGCGCCACCAACCCTGCCGCCACCTCCACCAGCTCAGCAGCGCACACTGATGCCGCCGCAGCTGCGCTCGCCGATGCCACCGAGACCGGCCGCGCGAATGGCGTGCGCGCCAAGTCTGCCGATCTTCTCGACACCCAAGGCTCCAAGGCGACCCGCCGCGACGAGCTCATTGGCGGCAGCAGCCAAGGG